CTCTTGCAACTTTGTAAGTTAATCACACAGTAGAGACTTATGTACCAATGATGCCATGGGAATAGAAAATGCTCTTTTATTGCTCTTGTTTTTTTAAAGTAGCATTGCTCTTTTGTTATTCTACAATAAAAGTCTGTTAATACCATGAGTGGCGTAAAAAAAAAAAAGAGCTAAGCACCATAAATTAATTTAATTATATGTGTACATGTTATGTCCAGACAATCAACCAAATGTGCAGTGTCGAGCCAGCCTTTACACCGAAGCCGCTGTAGTTCGCGAAGCTTGTCTCTTGACTCTTTCTTGACAATTTCATCGAGCCAAAATCGAAATCTAAAGCGACAACGAATCACTCTTTCTGCTATGCACAAGAGAAGACGTTCTCCTTGGAAATCGCTGCCTTCATAGAAGACATCAAGGCTTCTATAGTAGCCCGGGCCAGCCCAACAGTATGGAAAAAAAAAAAAAAAGTGAAAATTAGAAATGAATCCCCCTAAATGTACTTGTTTGGAGATAAGTCCTGTAAGAAAACTTATAAGGAGCGAAGTTCATATTTAAAATTATATTTAATAACTTAAGTCCACTTTTTTTTTTATCTCAAAAATACCCTTCCTTAAAAAGAAGTGAATTTTTTCTCTCTCATATATATATACTAGGGATAGCCTGTGCCTGAAGTCACAGTGTGATTCAAAAACAATTAAGCACTGAACTAGGACGCGTACTAAGCTGAAAATCTAAACTATCCCCATAATCCGTGCCTGCAGAATCTGTGTAATTAAAAAAAACATTATTCTTGAACACGAAACAATTAAACACTAAACATAGACATGCATCAATCTAGTCTTCTCTATTTTAAAAAAAAAAATTGACAGAATTTCATCAAAAAATAGTAGCCCAAAAAATCTAAACATGTATACAAAGGTTATATATCTTATAATTATACTCAAATCAGCATCATAATATTAACTATTCATGTCACAATCCTTCCTCTAAATAATAATTTACTAACAAACACAACATAACAATTTGTCAAGCTAATGCCTGTGCCTAAAGGCACCATGCAATGCAAAAATATCACCAATGAAAAATAATAAGGGTGCATTAAAATAAGTTAACTCCATTCGAGTTTTGGTCAAATTGTAGATAAGTTTAAATCAATCTGGGATTACTAATTTTCAAATAATTTCAAAAAAGACATCTCCAAAAATACGACTCCCTAATTGACCATATAAGATTCCTTAGTTATGAAAAGAAATTACAGTCCAACCATTAAGTGATCAAGCAATCAAAGCAACTACAACTTTGTGTGACTAAATCTACATGAAGAAATGAAATACAATGAATTAGTCACATCCACTGGAGACAAACCAGACAAAAAGAAAAGGAAAAAAGAAATCAAATTCCAGTGCACATATATTATTAAACAAATTCCATAGGCAATTAATACTACAAACAGAATCATTTGTGTTAAGAAACAAATAAAAAAAAAATTGGTTGTCACTCAAGATTATATAGGTCCATCTTAAAGCTTGTATTCATTCATCACATTTCCATCCTTCTTTTATGAAACGAAATTGATAAAAACATGCATCAATACATACAATAATTGTCAATTATTAAAATCAATATCACCTAAATGAGAAAAAGGCTTCCATGGATCCTTACCTATAGCACCACTGTGTAGCCAATCGTTCACCATCTTCCAGTCCTTTCTTGATGCAAAAACAAAGCACAATTGAAGCCCCCATAATCTCATAACATCACCTTTCAATCTTCCACTTGCATGATGAATCATTAAAAACTATGATGGCAGCAAAGACNTAAAATAAGTTAACTCCATTCGAGTTTTGGTCAAATTGTAGATAAGTTTAAATCAATCTGGGATTATTAATTTTCAAATAATTTCAAAAAAGACATCTCCAAAAATACGACTCCCTAATTGACCATATAAGATTCCTTAGTTATGAAAAGAAATTACAGTCCAACCATTAAGTGATCAAGCAATCAAAGCAACTACAACTTTGTGTGACTAAATCTACATGAAGAAATGAAATACAATGAATTAGTCACATCCACTGGAGACAAACCAGACAAAAAGAAAAGGAAAAAAGAAATCAAATTCCAGTGCACATATATTATTAAACAAATTCCATAGGCAATTAATACTACAAACAGAATCATTTGTGTTAAGAAACAAATAAAAAAAAAATTGGTTGTCACTCAAGATTATATAGGTCCATCTTAAAGCTTGTATTCATTCATCACATTTCCATCCTTCTTTTATGAAACGAAATTGATAAAAACATGCATCAATACATACAATAATTGTCAATTATTAAAATCAATATCACCTAAATGAGAAAAAGGCTTCCATGGATCCTTACCTATAGCACCACTGTGTAGCCAATCGTTCACCATCTTCCAGTCCTTTCTTGATGCAAAAACAAAGCACAATTGAAGCCCCCATAATCTCATAACATCACCTTTCAATCTTCCACTTGCATGATGAATCATTAAAAACTATGATGGCAGCAAAGATTATGAAACATCATCTTTCAATCTTCCACTAAATTTTGTTCAAACAACTTGTCAGCGGAGTTATTTGCGCCAATTCCATAATCAATCCATTACAATTAGCTTTAGCATGAAACAACCATCCATCCATTAATTAACATTAAGCCAATCATTAAATTTCAAGTAAACAAATTATTCAAATTCAACAAACCCAACAAACCCAACTCTGACCATTTCACTATCTTAAGAAGCAATTGAAACTTGAAAGATGTAATCAAACCACAACCCATATTCAACTAATCAAAAAAAATTAACAAAATAATACCTATAAAACTAATTACTCATTGAACTCTAATTATAAAGAAGGTTAAATGCATACTTTTTGGCAACCAATAGAGACCATCCATCGCTCTAAACAATGACAGGTTGCGGCACATCACCGATTTTTTCTTGATTCCATGGTCGATGTCAAAGTTAAAATTGGATCTTTTCATAAAAATAAATTTCCCGCAACTAATTGGGAAAATAAAAAATTAATTACTAAATTGCAAGAAATTTTTTTTAAAAAAAAATCCCACCCGAAATTGAAAAGCTACAAAACACCCAAATTATCAATTGATTTTTAATTGTATAAAGTAAGGAAAATACTAATATATGCATCATATAGGAATTTCAAGTCTATTCATTTCGCTATAGTGCAATTTACAATTCATAACGTGTGAATAGATTATGACAAAAATACTAAAATGCCTAAAAGGAACTTAGATGGACCATAAATTTGTCTCNCAAAACACCCAAATTATCAATTGATTTTTAATTGCATAAAGTAAGGAAAATACTAATATATGCATCATATAGGAATTTCAAGTCTATTCATTTCACTATAGTGCAACTTACAATTCATAACGTGTGAATAGATTATGACAAAAATACTAAAATGCCTAAAAGGAACCTAGATGGACCATAAATTTGTCTCATGATGCAGTCTCTATTTCCATACATTAAAATAATTGTTTCAATGCATTTTATCAAGCACTTGGAGCCCAAACCCAAATTGGGCTAGGCAAATGCTCCCTCACCCAAAACGGCAAAACCCCCTAAAATTGCTTTAGGTGAATTAGTGCAACCAACTAAAGTGCATATTGTATGGCCATTTCCTTAAACACGAAGTTTACACAGTAGAAACGAAGAAAAAAGGCAAAGCATCTATAATGGAGGTTAACCATTGGAGCATTTCATCAAACACATCCTATGCTCACTAACACCAGACAACACATACNTATACATTAAAATAATTGTTTCAATGCATTTTATCAAGCACTTGAAGCCCAAACCCAAATTGGGCTAGGCAAATGCTCCCTCACCCAAAACGGCAAAACCCCCTAAAATTGTTTTAGGTGAATTAGTGCAACCAACTAAAGTGCATATTGTATGGCCATTTCCTTAAACACGTAGTTTACACAGTAGAAACGAAGAAAAAAGGCAAAGCATCTATAATAGAGGTTAACCATTGGAGCATTTCATCAAACACATCCTATGCTCACTAACACCGGACAACACATACAAAATACTTCTAGAAATCGACCCTAGAAGACAATTTCAATGCCAAGAAAAATCAACACAACAACTACTCAACAATGAAAATTACCCATAAAACTCATTCATCGTAGTAAGAAAAATCATCAGCAAATTTAGCAAGAACATCACCAAAAAAACCAAGTAGATATGTGTAACCATTACCCAATCTTGCACATTCACTGTGTAACCCATAACCAAGCAGATAAATAGAAAACATAAACACAATCAATATGTGTAATCCAAATTGGAACCACAAATACCAAACCCCAAAATTTAATGCGTTTAGTGTGCTATGCCTATGGGTGTGCTGTGTGCGTGTGATGTGTTGTGTACAGAGAAAGGGAGAAAGAGATGAAGATAGAGAGAGGGGGAGAGACAAAGAGGGAGGCAGAGAGTGGATACGTGGATTTGGGCGATAGTGCGATAACTTGATTCTAAATAAAATCAAGTAAAGTCATGCTGAAATAAATAATAGAATAAATAACTTGATTCTAAATACCAAAAAAAAATAATCTGAAATTGAATTATCATTCAAGTATCAACAACAGATCTAAATCAACTCAGTCCCTTAGATGTTCTTAAAGAATTGCGATCATTTTCGCAAATCATTACAGGTCTGTAAAGGCTCATCATCGTTGTTATATAGACTCCCATATAGATAGATATATACATATATAAACATATGCAATTTATATTCAAATTGATATACAGAGAACATATAACTACCTCAGTGTTCTCCAATCGTTGGGTCGCCTCTGGTGACTACAGGCATTCTGATTGGAGAGAGATAGGAAAAAGGGAGAGAGAGGAGAAAGGGCATGTGTGTGTTTTGTGTGAGAGAGAAAGAGAGATGGGGGATGGGTAACGTTAGCCTGTAGAGTGGTATATATATTAATCTTCATAGCAGTAGATCACTTACCTCCTCTGTTCTGATCCCAGTAGGAGGCATCTACCTATCAATCCATATAAAGCAAATTACATGAAGAAATAACGAATTAGATTCTAAAATTAATATAATAAATACAATACATGATCAAGTTGCTGAACCCGTCTTTGAGCAGGGGCGTGATCCGAGTTCTGAGACTCGACCGTGTTCATCTCATCGCTCACTCCTTCAATGTTGTGCTTCGGCGAAAAAGGAGTTCTACTGATTGTCGGAGCGTGGAAGTCAGATAAAGGTCCAAAACCTGCGTGTTTCGTCTTCGCTGGTGTGTTCACCGGTGGTGGCTGAGCCATGGCAAAGAGAAAAGTCGCAAGAGTGTGGAGAGAAAGAGAGAGAAAGGCTGGTGTAACGTCTGACAAACTTGGGAGACGTGATTTAAGCTTTGGGCGGGATAATTTTTTTGTTGCGATGAATTGTGAGTCGTTAGATCCAAGTAAATGAAATCTGGATCATTTAAATGAATGGTTTTGAGAGATGTTTATGACTGTTAGATAAAATGAATTGTGGTCATCTGATAGACTTGTTGAAGCCCGCTGTGTTTTATATTATAGATATATATACATAAAAAAAATATTAACATTTAAATACAAAAAAAAAAGTTACTATGAATTTGAATAGTAAAATTCAAATTCATGTTACTAAGTTTTTTATTATGTTACTGTTCATGTACTATTATTTTTTAGCATGTTACTGTTTTTGTTGACCATATTACTACTATTATTTTTCTAAAAATTAATATTCAATGTTACTATTTTTTTTTTGAATATTACTATTTTTTATATTTGAATGATACTATTTTTTGCGTTTGAGTTTGAAAGAAATAATTATTGTTAAGTATGTTACAGTTTTTGTTAAGCATGTTACTATTTTTGTTGAACATGTTAATATTTTTGTTGAACATGTTATTTTTGTTATTTTTTAAAAATATTAATATTGAATGTTTCAATATTTTTTATATTTAAATGTTACTATTTTTTTGTATTTAAATGTATTATTTTTTTTGTTCAAATGATAACTTTTTTTTTTTGTATTTGAATGTTACTATTTTTTAATTTTAATGTTAGTTAAACTTTTAACCTATATATGGATATAGATAGATATGAGATATAAAAGATTTTAATATTAGTCAAACTCCTAAGATTTAAGAGTTTTTAATTTTTAGTTTTATTCCACTTCTAAAGGGAAGGATAATATGGTAAAATTGACAAAAAACAGACTTCATAACAAATAAGTTTTCTTGACGGACTTAAGTCCAAACAAGTCCATATAGGAGGATCGGCCTCCAAATTTTCCAAAAAAAAAAATATAGGCTTTAGACCCTAAATTTTTAGAAGGTCTCATAATTTTAGANTGGTAAAATTGACAAAAAACAGACTTCATAACAAATAAGTTTTCTTGACGGACTTAAATCCAAACAAGTCCATATAGGAGGATCGGCCTCCAAATTTTCCAAAAAAAAAAATATAGGCTTTAGGCCCTAAATTTTTAGAAGGTCTCATAATTTTAGTTGCATCACTAACTTACAAAAAAATTAAATTCGTTAAATTTTAAGCCCTACAAAAAAAGTCCCAAAAAATTAAAGGGAAATTTGGAGACCGGTTCTCCTATGTGGACTTGTTTGGAGATAAGTCCGACAAAAAAACTTATTGGAGTCTAAGTCCGTGTTTAAACTTATATGTAGGTACTTAAGTCTACNTTTAAGCCCTACAAAAAAAGTCCCAAAAAATTAAAGGGAAATTTGGAGACCGGTTCTTCTATGTGGACTTGTTTGGAGATAAGTCCGGCAAAAAACCTTATTGGAGTCTAAGTCCGTGTTTAAACTTATATGTAGGTACTTAAGTCTACTTTTTTTTTTAAATCTCAATATTACCCCTAACGGTGTTAGTTTTGTCCAATTATAGAAAGTCCAATAGGTTAGATCTTTAAAGTATATATAGAAATCTTAGTTTGAGTTATATATGAAAATCATTTTTCATTAAAAATCCTAATAATTAAATGAAGAACATATGGAATGTATATACTTTGCTAGCTATGTAGAAACCTAATTGACGAATTAATTCAGATCACAAGTTTTTCTTATCAATTANTATGGAATGTATATACTTTGCTAGCTATGTAGAAACCTAATTGACGAATTAATTCAGATCACAAGTTTTTCTTATCTAAATTCAAATTCGAATTCTTAATCAATTTTAGTATGTTATACTTTTGAATAACAGGTTTTTGTGTTTGGCAGGGGGTTTAAAGGTGATAGAAGTAGTCGCGAGACTCCGTGTTACTAATGATATTACCGTCAAGGTTACTATTTAATAATCATTACATACAATAACTAATCGTACAACAATATTACAAATCCACTTGATAATGAATAATTACAACGGATTTTAACATATCAATTCCACATACAACACAATTTTAGCATTCTAAAATTGAATGTCTATGTTAGTTTGAATTTTTTTTAATATATTACTATTTGAGTTACTGTTGCACTTACAAATTGGATAGAATTTCCTTTGTTTTTCAAACATTCCATTTCAAACAAATTCCCAAACTTACATCAACATATCAATTTAATATCAAGGTGTAACATCCAAACCATAATTCTACATGTTTGAATACTCCATTTAAACTAAGTGCCAATCAATAAACAATTACAACCAACTTCTAATCAAACTTACAAGTAGCTAAAGAATGAATAGCTTTACAACATCATCAATTTTTTATTTTTTTGGTATCTTTTTTTCAATCTTGATCTTGTCTTGTAGTTTTCAATAGTCTATGTATTCTTATGGTTTATGAATGTAGTCACCATATATATTCGTAGAGCATCAAGTTGTGATGGTTTCAATTTCTTTTCTATTTCCTGTAATTGTCATCAACCTGTAACACGACGTTGTTATATCAATATGAATATATTGGACAGTTGTAATATCAATATCCTACACAAACATATAGTATCATGATACAAAATAGTAACACACAACATATGGTAACATACATAATAATAACATACATAATATAGTAACATGATACCAAGCATAATGGATATAAACCAATTATGAAAATTTTTGTGCAAAAGTAACATTAACATTTCTACCAAATTACATGATGTAAGTATAGTAACATCAGGTTAGTAACATCAAAACACACACAATTCAGTAACATCATTTTTCAATACACAATTCCATTGCAAATTCATTGTTTTTNTGTAACACGACGTTGTTATATCAATATGAATATATTGGACAGTTGTAATATCAATATCCTACACAAACATATAGTATCATGATACAAAATAGTAACACACAACATATGGTAACATACAGAATAATAACATACATAATATAGTAACATGATACCAAGCATAATGGATATAAACCAATTATGAAAATTTTTGTGCAAAAGTAACATTAACATTTCTACCAAATTACATGATGTAAGTATAGTAACATCAGGTTAGTAACATCAAAACACACACAATTCAGTAACATCATTTTTCAATACACAATTCCATTGCAAATTCATTGTTTTTCTTTTTTACATTTAAAATCAAACAACAACCCCTGAACTCTTCATAAACAACATATGATGCATCAAAAGTAAAAACTAAAAAGGGAGTTGATCAGTAACATGTCTACAATAACATCAAATTGTCAGTACCATCCACAGTATCCAAAGCACAAGCATACATTGGAAATATAAATTCAATTTTTCAGTTATCACACAGTAACATGAAAAAGGTTCAATATACTCTTGAACTAATGATTTTTGAATTTANATATCCTACACAAACATATAGTATCATGATACAAAATAGTAACACACAACATATGGTAACATACAGAATAATAACATACATAATATAGTAACATGATACCAAGCATAATGGATATAAACCAATTATGAAAATTTTTGTGCAAAAGTAACATTAACATTTCTACCAAATTACATGATGTAAGTATAGTAACATCAGGTTAGTAACATCAAAACACACACAATTCAGTAACATCATTTTTCAATACACAATTCCATTGCAAATTCATTGTGTTTCTTTTTTACATTTAAAATCAAACAACAACTCCTGAACTCTTCATAAATAACATATGATGCATTAAAAGTAAAAACTAAAAAGGGAGTTGATCAGTAACATGTCTACAATAACATCAAATTGTCAGTACCATCCACAGTATCCAAAGCACAAGCATACATTGGAAATATAAATTCAATTTTTCAGTTATCACACAGTAACATGAAAAAGGTTCAATATACTCTTGAACTAATGATTTTTGAATTTATTGAACAACGAAGAAAGCAACAAAAAATTTACACATGTAATTATATAATAGACTTTTAATTCAGTAACTACATTTTTCATTATACAGTTGTTTTTATTGGAAATCCATTGAGTCCCCATGTTATAATTTTTTGAATGTAAATAACAGTGTTCAAAAGTAATGTGAATATTTTTTTGAAGAAACTTGTGATATTTTATTTTTCGTAACCAACATATTGTGCATTAAAAGTAAAAACCAAAGGTTGTGATCAGTAACACATGTGCAAAAACATCATTTTCATAGTAACATCCACAAAACTTAAACACATCAATCCATTGAAATTAAGAAATCAATTTTTCATGTTAAGATAGAGTAACATGATATATTTCATGTTATTTTGAAACAATGATTTTCGAATGTCTTGAACAACGCATAAAATAACAAAAAAATGTTCACATGTAAATACATAGCACATTAAATTAGTACCACTAACATGAATAGTTTCATCCCAAAGGCTATATTGTATTCACAGTAATATCAAATTTCAAATGGTTATAATAAACATACAATTCTAAAATTGAAAATTTAAAAAATTCTCAATTGTAACACATTGTCAATGCTTGAATTAGGACACTCAACGCCCATCAATAACATTAAGATATTTAAATTATGAGATAAATTTATTCAATTCTTCACACAATAACCTCATATATTTCACAGAAACACAACCAACGAATTTCAATTGTCAAACACATCAAAAAGAATGACAAAAACAAAATATATAACACTTTTATTATAGTAACAATCCATCTTAATTTTAATGTTATTAATGCAAAAAATTAGAAAAAAAAAACCCCAGATGACAATAAAAACGACACATTAGGTNAGAATGACAAAAACAAAATATATAACACTTTTATTATAGTAACAATCCATCTTAATTTTAATGTTATTAATGCAAAAAATTAAAAAAAAAAAAACCCCAGATGACAATAAAAACGACACATCAGGTAATGGGT